CCTGGCCATCTTCGTCTCCATCTACCTCTGCTCCATTTTACTTTCACTTCACTAAATACAAACACTTTCTCCAGGGGATTCCCTATCATGCCTATAGCCGTGTCCAAAACACTTTCGTGTCCACCATTCTATTGCGGTGCACAGTCCTAGTTTTTAAACCAATTAATAAAAAATGTTCGTGTATAGATCACGTAAATATAAATGTGTCGTTTATCCGCCAGAATTGGCCGATGATGCTGGCTGTAATTACCAGCAAAACGTCGTACTCAAATTGTAAATGTTGTGGATTTACTCTCCAACACATCGGTGGGCTGAAGTAGTAACTAATTGTCACGTTTTATTTTCGTGACAAACCTTACTGGTTGGCTGTGTCGAATGGTGGCGGGTTAACGACAAATTTATACTTTCGCCATCTAACCCAAAACAATCTTTATTATATCAGTCGCGAAAGCTTACGTGTCAAATTTGCACCAGTTACATGCGGTTTCACCTTAATTTGTTCTAATTGCCATCCAAGGGACAGCGCGATAGTCCTCGAATGCAAAAGGCATGAACTTTCTCCTACAGTGAGGGAAAAAAGTATTTGATCCCCTGCTGATGTTGTACGTTTGCCCACTGACAAAGAAATTATCAGTCTATAATTTTAATGGTAGGTTTATTTGAACAGTGAGAGACAGAATAACAACAACAAAAATCCAGAAAATCGCATGTCAAAAATGTTATAAATTGATTTGCATTTTAATGAGGGAAATAAGTATTTGAGCCCTCTGCAAAACATGACTTAGTACTTGGTGGCAAAACCCTTGTTGGCTATCAGCGAGGTCAGACGTTTCTTGTAGTTGGCCACCAGGTTTGCACACATCTCAAGAAGGATTTTGTCCCACTCCTCTTTTCAGATCTTCTCCAAGTCATTAAGGTTTCGAGGCTGACGTTTGGCAACTCGAACTTTCAGCTCCCTCCACAGATTTTCTATGGGATTAAGGTCTGGAAACTGGCTAGGCCACTCCAGGACCTTAATATGCTTCAACTTGAGCCACTCCTTTGTTGCCTTGGCCGTGTGTTTTGGGTCATTTTCATGCTGGAATACCCATCCACGACCCATTTTCAATGCCCTGGCTGAGGGAAGGAGGTTCTCACCCAAGATTTGACGGTACATGGCCCCGTCCATCGTCCCTTTGATGCGGTGAAGTTGTCCTGTCCCCTTAGCAGAAAAACACCCCCAAAGCATTTTTCCACCTCCATGTTTGACGGTGGGGATGGTGTTCTTGGGGTCATAGGCAGCATTCCTCCTCCTCCAAACACGGCAAGTTGAGTTGATGCCAAAGAGCTCCATTTTGGTATCACCTGACCACAACACTTTCACCTAGTTGTCCTATGAATCATTCAGATGTTCATTGGCAAACTACAGACGGGCATGTATATGTGCTTTCTTGAGCAGGGGGACCTTGCGGGCGCTGCAGGATTTCAGTCCTTCACGGCGTAGTGTGTTACCAATTGTTTTCTTGGTGACTATGGTCCCAGCTGCCTTGCGATCATTGACAAGATCCTCCCGTGTAGTTCTGGGCTGATTCCTCACCGTTCTCATGATCATTGCAACTCCACGAGGTGAGATCTTGCATGGAGCCCCAGGCCGAGGGAGATTGACAGTTCTTTTGTGTTTCTTCCATTTGCGAATAATCGCACCAACTGTTGTCACCTTCTCACCAAGCTGCTTGGCAATGGTTTTGTAGCCCATTCCACCCTTGTGTAGGTCTACAATCTTGTCCCTGACATCCTTGGAGAGCTCTTTGTTCTTGGCCATGGTGGAGAGTTTGATTGCTTCTGTGGACAGGTGTCTTTTATACAGGTAACAAGCTGAGATTAGGAGCACTCCCTTTAAGAGTGTGCTCCTAATCTCAGCTCGTTACCTGTATAAAAGACACCTGGGAGCCAGACATCTTTCTGATTGAGAGGGGGTCAAATATTTATTTCCCTCATTAAGATGCAAATCAATTTATAACATTTTTGACATGCGTTTTTCTGGATTTTTTTGTTGTTATTCTGTCTCTCACTGTTCAAATAAACCTACCATTAAAATTATAGACTGATCATTTCTTTGTCAGTGGGCAAACGTACACAATCAGCAGGGGATCAAAAACTTTTTTTTCCCTCACTGTATCTGCTGCCTCAATCATCCCCCGAGAGAAAAAAAAATGTGTGCACAGCACAAAAACACACGATGCAGTGCAGATGATTGATGTTCGAACACTCACATACATAAACCATAAATGCTTTCTGTTTCACGGACATCCATCTTGAGGTCAATTGTGACGGGACTATAACACTTAATCCCTGGCATTAGTGACTGGTTATGCATCCGCCTCACTGACACTTAGCGCATGCATTTTTCATGACACGCGATTGCTGTGCACGTACGGCGAGCGTCATACCACCGCGGAGTGCAACGAGGACCCTTTGGCAGCGTGGCATCGCGGAGGCAACAATCGCAGACTGATCGAAAAGCGCGTGCGTACACACACGCGAACGCGCGGACGGGAAAGACTGCCTTCGGAAAACGGAGAAAACGGACTCGCTATTTTTAGGAACGCATTGCACGAGTCTTAGAGATGAAGAAGACATCCTCTCGCGTTAGAATTAACGCGACACAAAAACGATAGATACTGATCGATGCATCAAACTACAACGATGTAAGATGAAAAAGGATAATCAATTTTGCCAATTTTGTCGGCAGAGAAAAGCGACGAGTGGAAAATCAATTCTAATTCTCAAAGTTTGGTTTTCCACGTTGGTCTGCATGTTGAGAAATTCCTCCCTCAAGCTTTTGCCACGCACCATGGCATGCGGCATGTTCAGGAACTCAAGTCAAAAGGAGTTGAATTACAACTCCTGAATTCAATCGAGAGAGATAAATATTTAAAACATGCAACACCAACTCGGAAAGCCGCATGTGGATTGCAGGCAACTGCGAAAAGTAAATTGTGACATTCAAATTTTCTGGGCAGTGGCACGGCCCAGCAGTAGCGCATTCGCCACTTGTTGCAGAGGTTCGAGGTTCAAAACCAGCGGCCGCCCTGGTTATTAGCACAAGTGAAAGTAACGGTGATAATACTCCGTGCTGTCTGCTTCATAGTGGACGTTAAAGATCTCCTCGACGTCATTTACAAGATGAGTGCATTGTGTACCAGCGTCCGAGTCCAAATTTGCCAAATTCGAAAATTGTCCTGCAAATTACTCAATTGTGATTATACACAGCAGCAATCATCACTCCTACTGGGAGACTAATGCCCCAGGTTACCCTTGCAAATGAAATTCACCCTGGGTAAACAAAATAAACTTTCTCTAAATGATGGGAAACTCGTCAGACAGAAAAGCGCATGTGGCTGGAAACCTACAAAAGCAATGCACTCATAAGGTGATTTCTAGACGGCAAAATGTGGTTTGATGACCATCTGTTCAGTCGTCCCATCATGCCTTGCATGCAGTGATATCGCCACACTGCGTGGATAAAGCACAGAGCCTTGTTTCAGACCACAAACTCAAAAGAGTCAAAGATGTGGCCAAATTATTTTAGAAAGCAAGCAGAAGGATGAAACAACACTATTACATATGGATGACAAAACTGAATACTGCACATTAAGGGCAATTCAGCAAAACCGGATGATTCTGGGCTGGAGTTGACAGGCAAGTCGTCTCATCCCCATGTAGGCAATGGATCAATGCTGAAGTGTCAAAGAAAAAAATGACCTTTTTTTGGTAAACAAAAATTAGAATTCTGACTTACATAACACTATATTATGAACAATAAGCCATGCAGCTGACTTCATACATGAACGTGTTGTTTTGTATATTTATTATAGGGACAGCCTCCAATACAATCTCATTACAAAAAGAAATAACTTTTCCATTAAAATGAAGACTTTGCTTTAACTTTAGGAAACCAATTTTCTGCTAGACATGGTGTAACTGATCTGGAAAGATTAGCCATAGCACCCAGAAAGGGCCCACACACACAACAACAAAAACCTCAACACCATCGTCAATAACGTTCCGGCCTTCAAATGAAAAATATAATAGGCGCCATTTGGTTCAACGGGCCTTCTTCATCGCACATGATAACGCGCAAGACCACATAGTTCTACCGACGAATGCGTTGAGCTTTTTGTTAATTCTGCCCGTGCTCTACTGCCAACGCACCCACCCGCTGCTCCACATTGGCTTTGATCTGCCAAGAAAGAAACCGCTGGCTCCATCGACCGCTCCTGAACAGCGACCGATGGTTGCGCACACCTCTTAAACAAGTGGGATATTAAAGACGACCCAAAGTGGGAATGCGGCCACCCAAACAACACAATGGAGGATTGCATTCTACGCCCACTTTCCGGTGGACTGGAGAGTATTCGTAGTGCAAGCAATTGCGTGGCTCACAATAATTAAATCTGGACGTAATAATTTACGCGTAAATAGTCACACGCTCGACTAAGTAGAAGAAGAATGCAGCATCGGCCACATAATTAATTTCATGGCAAACATATGAGTAAGTAAGATGACAAACACCAGCGTGACTCAATGTTCCACCTTGGCTCTACAATTTGTCAACATCACGGGTAGGGGACCTCTCCTTCCCGAGGGGCAGTTACCTTTGGCAGGGTAAATATTAACACCCGTACCTTTGTGTAATCCAATAATAATAACAACGAAACATAACATCCATGTTGACAAAGTGCACAGAGGCCCTTGAAGTGACACATGTGACGGAGCCGCGCTAAATTTAGAAATAGTGTTGCTCCCAAGGTTATGAAATATTCCCCTACAGTGCCAAGTTCGTGTGGCTAAGATGCATACGATGGGAAAATGTCATTTTACGGCCATTTAAACCTTATGTGGCCACAGGACCCATATGAAACAAAGTCACAGGCCGGATATGACCCGCGGCTACATTTTGCGCGGCCCACAAGCCGAAGGTGACATTGCCGCTGGGTCCACGCAAGAGTATAGCACACCTGGCTTGTGTGACCTCCTCCAGCCAGGTGACCCGCATCAAGTTTCGGTGGCCGTAAAATAATCAGCCCCCGCCACTGACCGGCTCGAGATCAAGGCCTCTCTCTCCTCTTCTTCTCCTTCTGCTGCTGCAAGTTGAAGCACACGCATCAGAGAGCGACAGACACAAATTCCCCTTCTCCACAGACACATCCTGAGCCATGCCAGCTCGGGGGCCCCTCAAAAGTACGAGTGGCTTTTTTTCCCACTGGAAAATTTGCCAAGTCGGGCCAGAACCGTGCCCTCACAAGACATCTGAATCTGGCTACGCAGGGCAAGGATACAGGGCTAATAATTTTCATAATACACATCTACAAGCCACTTGAGTTCCTCATTGCGTGTGTTGTCAATGGCAGGGCTTGGGTTTTGCAGTGGAAAAACAACCTGGCGTGTCTCCCGTGCCATGCCAGGCAGGTTTGGCACAACAACGGCACGGCTCGGTTGCAGAATGGAAAAAAGGTAACAACATCAACATCCTTACCACTGGCAAACCTTAACAGAATGTTTATGAAGCAAAGGCAAGTGTTATTAATTCACACAAATAGATTATTTAATCACCAAGAGTTATCTTCACAAAGTTTAGAATCATCATCACCGTCAAATGTGTCATAAATAATCCGATACAGTACAGTATTTTTGGTGATTTTAGTGATTGATGCGCTGTGCGCTGAAACAGGCAAGCCCAGTTTGATTCCCGGCCACTGCGAACATCGGTGGCAAGTGACATTTTAACCAAGTCCTGGGCCCCCCCCTCTCCAACAACAACCGGCAGTCCGCCACATAGTGACGGCGACGTCACCACGGCGCCTGTGCCAGGCCAGCGGCACTTTAAAGGCCACGTGAAGTGTCGAAGGCCCGCCACGTGAAGTGTGTTGACCAACACACACTGACCAGCGTAGTGAAGTATGGTCAAGCAACCCACCCACCCGCCACCCCAAGACCAACACGTGTGTGGGGGACTTTCACTCGGCAGTGGATTGACAAAGGACTTTGAATTACCATCATCGTCATATTCATGTGCCAGCTTAATCAATCATCATCAAATGAACCTCATGGCGGGACCCCCGGGGTCCCGAATAAAACGGAAGTCTAAATCGTAATTCATTTATTTATTTTGAGCGACTCCGTCCCACCGCGCACAAAGGCCGCGACCCATCTGGCGCGGATCATTCTGTTGTCGTGTCGTGTCCAAGCGCAGCAGCGAGGACGAATGTGCAGAAGAGCTGAACAAGCGAATGCACTCCATGCTCGGGTATGGGAAGGATCATAAGTCTCATCCAAAGCTGCTCAAACTGCCGATACGACTGAAGTCCTTTATTTGTCATAACAGAATGCATAATACAGTGAAACTGCTCTCTTATCTTCATTATTATTTGTGACCTACCAATATCTGCAGCAAGGATCAACTGCTGACAATCCTATTTCCTGCAGATATTTAACAAATGAGATGCGTTGCACCGTTAATTCATCCTGTTTGATAATCCACACTTCTCTTGTCCGTATGCATCTATGTATCTGTGCAGATAGGTTTTTTTTGCGGTTAAGCCATAGTCACCACATACCGCTCATATCAATGCGGATAAGAAGAGCGGCGACCCACTACTCTGTAGAGTAATATTGGTATAAACGCTTGTTACAATATGAAAAGCGCATAGAAAACGCGTACTATTTTACGTACCGTGTACAAAGTGTGCTCACAAATCCACACTGAGAAACACGATGATTGACAGAGGGGCGTAATTTTTTCGATAGTGTATTTAAATAGAGGAACTGCAGGTAAGTAGTTTTCAGTTTTAAAGACATAGTTCAACAAGACAACACTTGCCACCATCCTTTAAACCCATTGGTGAAAAAGGGCAAAGTTTGTGTTAACATTATAACATGTTTATGCGAGAGCCGGGGGCTTATGGGACCCCGGGGTCCCACCATAAGGGTCAAATGTCAATTGGGCGCCGAGGCACAGTGAGGCAAGGTTGTTTTTGAACAGAAGTGTTCCGGAATTATTTTAAGATTTTGAAAATCTGTATTCGAAGGTTTGCCGTGCAGTATTGAATAAGGAATGGCATGCAGGTGTCAATATACTGTGACAAATTCAAACAGCTCTGCACTTACACGTTGCACCACACAGAATTATTGGACTCGGCACAGCAACATAAGATGGTGAATTCATAGCCCTGATGCGACACAAATACACACACAAGGCACACACAGTGCGCACGTACAGCTTCATACAACACACACAGCCTTAGACAGTATACTTGTTGTAGTTTCATTGATGGCAGCTGACACGTAACATTAGACACACTGTACGGCATACAATTATACATGTGGAGTACACAATATACACACACATTAGACATAATATACATAGGCAGCACGCACGGATACAGCTCGCAAAACACAGTAACGCAACACACACGAGGAGCACACACAGCACACACACAAAATACACAACCAGTATGGAGAGCACACACACACGCTACACATACACAACAGGATAACACATAAGCACTTAACACACACGCACAACATACGCAAGACGCGCAGTAAACACAACGCACCCACACACGTTTAACAAAGAGTGCACACACATTACACAGTTCACACACACACAGAGACACACACACACAGCTGCCCACCACTTAGCCCTGGGTCCAAGCAGCTACTACAGCAGCTGATCGATGCAAACCGAGGACGGCCGCGTGGTCCAGGTTCGACTCTGGGTCTTCGGCGTGCAAGGAGACCACGGGGCGATCAATGACCCAGACCCACCCAGAATCCCACCATGAAACCGCGTGGAACCTGCAACCCACAAGCCCAAATCCTCTGGACCGCTCAGACCAAAAGTCGACCTCCACACGAGCCCCTACAACACAGACCCCCCGTGAAACGTGGACCCCACAAGTCACGGACCCACGTTAGAACTCGTGACATCCCATCCCATTACCATAGTTCATAGTTCATTTGTTTGGTATAGCCCTGCGAGCCATTCGGCTCTTGAATCGGGTGCAACCGCAACAAACAAAAAACATGAACAAGAAAACATCTTAAAGTGATTATGTGACTGTGCAAACAGAAAATACAGGAAAAAAATATCAAAATATTCCTGAAATAGCACCGTACACCAACGCTGTGTGCAAAAATCCCAGTGGGATGCAAGTCAAATAACAACAACACCACAAGACAGAAAAACCCCTGCGCCAAAGGCCCTTCAAGGTGAGGACCACCACATCAGCTCCCGCCAACACTCCAATCTCAAATTCCCATGGTCAAGGGAAGAAACAAAACGCTGTAGGAGACCCCCAGATCCAGGACCCTAAGATGCCTCAAGAGGCCCGGTTGGACGTCAAGAGGGACCCCCACCCGCAGGGAAGAGCCCGGGCCGCCAAGGTTCAAGGCCACTCACTGGCAGTACCCGCATGGCCGATGACAGGGCCCGTGTGTGGTGGTGGTAGTGGTGGTGACTGCATCAGCGCCGCGTAAGCTCCCCCACTTAACACCAACAGCACCACCACCACCACCAAACAACCACCACGATCCATCCTCAGTTTTGACGATGTGAACGGCCGAGCCGCGGTGCCACACAGACTACGGGAACACGTACCTCCTCACCTCTCCTCCTCCTCACCACAAACCTCCTCACCACCACCACCAAACCTCCTTCAGTCGCCGGGGGGGGTAAGCACGGGGGAGGCGCAGTGCGGTGCCCGAGCCCCGCCCACCAATAATTAGGCCCCGCCCATTGCCTCCGAAGGCCCCGCCCACAACCCATTGAAAGCCCCCGCCCCCTTCAGTGCTGAATCTCCGCCCCATTCAGTGTTGAAGCCCTGCCCCTTCAGTGTTCAAACCCCGCCCCCTTCAGCGCTGAATCCCCGCCACTTTCAGTGTTGAAGCCCCCCGCCCCTTTATGTGTTGAAGCCTCGCCCCTTCAGGATTGCAGCCCCGCCCCATGTAGAGCTGAAGCCCGGCCCCCGTCAGTGCTGAAGCCCCGTCCAGTGTCGAAGCCCCGCCCCCTTCGGCGCAAAAGGATCCGCACGAGTTTCTGAAGCCCCGCCCACAAAGACTCAGCGAGCCCCCGCCCCCTTGCAACCAAAGCTCCGCCCCAGACATAGCCTCGAGCTTCGACGCTCTGGTCATCATCGTGAGCCATGATCGTTCCACTGCTGGATGGAGGCATCCCATCAAGCCACCGCCATCCCTCGCGGAAACAGTCACGCGAATGCACGCGAACCGATGTCATCGCTCCATCTCCCTGGCGAGCATCCTTCTCGGGCGTGTACCGTCATTAGGCTGCCACTCCATCGCTAGTCTCGACCCCCAAACCCACAAATGCCAGTCCCTTCAAGCGGCGTGCCTTGCCCACGCTCACTTGCTCTTCGTCACGTGAACAATTGCGTGTTTAACCTGCGGTGTGGTTCTACGATCCGCGCGTGATACTTCCTGCAGTCACGAAAAGCTTTAAGTGAAGATTGAATAGATGGTGAGTTCAAGAGTGGCTGAACTTGCCTGCGGCTAAGACAGATCTGACGTCATCTTGATGCATGCCAGAAGAACAAGTTTGTGAGGACCATCCGCCGCTTGTCTTCTTACGCAACCCATTGGCCCCCCGGGGGAGACAATTGTCTGCCTATCTCTTTCGTTATTTATATCTTCCATCACGATGCTGAATGGCCATTGTGGAGAACGTGAATTATATTACACGGTGATAATGATAATAGCAGCAGTGCCTTCTTGACTAAGCAGGATAGCCTCACTGAGTCTTAAGACTATGGCTGGGAATGTCTTTTCGGTTGCTTAACTGACGGAAAATTACAATAGACCAACGTCTTGTGGTTGATCACTTGGGCCCCCTTTAACAAAACACGCTGTCTCCTGAAGGCGGGAAACCCCTATAAGCCACACCCAGCGTGACGCGGCTGACGACATCGCCAAGCCCCTACCATTGCCTCCCGTTCTCAACTACTTTCGTGTTGATCGAGCTCAATAATTGTAAGAGTAATCGATTACTTAATTAATCGGATCACAATCCCAGCTCTACTTTAGAGTGCGATGATTCATACAGGTAGGTGGTTTGGCCAATTTAATTGTAAACGTCATAGTAATATAACACTCACAGTATAGGCACAGGTGCATGATTAAATCCACTTTCTGGACTGGCAACTACTTGGCCACTTAGCAGCCCAAAGGGTTACGTGAATTCCACGATTTTTTTTGTGTTACCCGCCAACCCACGCCCCAACAACCCCGCATCGCTGCGTGACACGTTGCATAAAGTCAATCGATGTCTCCCAACCTCCACGTCTTCCTCCTCCGCCCCTTAGGTTATTTTTCAGACTTTTTTTTGGTTCAAAGAGAGAACAGAACGTTATCACGTGTGAACTCGTGTTGGCTCTATTATTTCGCACCGGAGCAGCTGATTTCAATCGTCGCATTCTGGAGGTGACCTTGCTTCCTTGTTGAGACCATTATCAAGGATCCAAGCCAGGGGGCCCTGGATTATTGGAGAAAAAATAATTAGGGGTGCATAAAATATCAGCTCAAATTCAAATCCTAAGAAGCATAACACACTGACGAAAGCCAACGAATATCTCTCATCTCGCGACATCTACCTATTGTATATTTTCTCTCTCATCGCACTGATTCTCTGTCTCAACTGTATCTCTCTTCATATCTGACTGCAACCTCCATCGTGTCTGTATCTCTTCTCGTCTTACTCTACTGTTCCAAGTTTGTCTACATTTCTTTGATCGCACTACCGGCCAGGGAACAAAGACGCTCATTGTATCGTCGCAAGCTTTCAGATGCGCTTCTGTGGCCGTCTGGAACGCTCTTCCTGTCGACATTAGAAAGCCACTGGAGCTATGCACTTTTATATCATCTAGATTGAAAACGTTATTTTTTTAAACTACTTTTAGTTTTTAGATTATTGCCCCCCCGCCCCGCCGCAGCTCCGATTAGTACGTTTGGCTATGTACGGTGTGAAAGAGGCTCAACATACATACATCAATATATATCCTGTCTATGTTCGTTCATATCACAATAAATGTATACATTTAAATGGGGGGGGCGGGGGGCTGCAAAATAATGTATGGGTCCCCAAGTCCCCAATGGGCTAGCACCATCACTCAGCGTTAAGGTGTGTATCGTGTGATAATAATATTAACTCTTATTTTATATCACGTCATTAATGCAAATTGCATTGCAAAAACAGAACATTACGAACCACATTAACATCAAAATTGGCACGAGACATCCCACAGAGACACAGCACGTGCACGAGTAAGGATACAGAGGTTGAACACAACACGAGCCAGAGAGAGAACACCACAGAGAAACACAACACGACCAATAGTACAGAGGGCGAACACAACACGAGCTAGAGAGAGAACACCACAGATAGACACAACGCAAACACGATCACGTGTGCGGAGGTGAACCCAACACAAAACCGGATGGCGGGACAGTAAAGCTCTTGATAGCGGCTAAAGTAAAAATATTTAAAACGATGATCCTGATAACAGTTTGTTTGATCTTATGCAGTCAATCGTGCAAATGGTACCACAAAACGCAGGACACCATTAAGTGCGTGCATCTACCCGCTGCATGGCAGCATCAGTAAACTAGAGAGTTTTTAAGTGTGATATGAAATGGCCAATAATGGCCAATTCCAATCGAAACTCGGCAGTTCCTCAAGCAATAGACAAAAAAAGTGTTTGCCTTGCAAAAGGAATATATTTGGTGTTTGAACATTTTAACACCTGTTTTATTGCCGGAAATTGTAAAACTAGTTTTCATTTTTTCATCATTCAAGTCCATGTGTTCACCCAAACATCCAAATATAGGACCACGAATCTTGAGCAATTGTGGGCACCAGATTATACAGCAGCGTTTTGAGATGTAATTAGCGTGACTCATGCAATATAAAATATCATAATATTATTCTTATAACCAGGTGAGAACTCAAGACACCAGGATGAGTCTCATTTGCAGGAGTGACCCGAGGTACCAAAATGACAGAAGAAAAAAATTAAGTGGGTAAATGAAATGAAACAAAACAAAGAAAACTCAACGCACTCGTCAACAACACTGCCTTAAAATAAAAAATATATATATAATTGGCGACGTTTCGGGCAATGGCCCTTCATAACACATGAGCAATAATAAAGAGAGGTTGTGATCGGAATTAGAATATTTATTTAGACTGGAGGAATCCGATGAGCTATGAAGCTCTTCTTCACACATGTCCAGTATGGGCGGGCGATATGGTGGGCATCAAGTCTGGCTCCAGTGCCTCTCAGATTCGGGGATCCAGTAGAAGTGGGGACACCGCTAAGGAGCGTGAACTTGGGTTGAGCCAAAGGGACATTTGGTGGAGGGACAGAGTCCACCACAGGTCCACCACAGCAACGCCACAGCCTCCACAGGCACTGGTGAGCATCCATGGGGGGGGGGGGGGGGGGGTGAGATGTTGAGAGAAAGCTTCATAGCTCATCGGATTCCTCCAGTATAAATCGATATTCTAATTCTCTGATTCAGCAGGGCTCACGACGTAACCCGCGGTATTGTTGCCTCTTGCTAATGCATAACATTGGAATTGTTAAACCACGTTATTGTATATTTATTTCACTTGTGCTTGTGACTTTAGTGCCACACGTCACTACCACAGGTCCAGGGGATTATGTTCGATAAAAGAAGAGGAAGAATAAGAAGACAAGAAACCCGCTGATATTGACAGATAAAAAGAATATCGAGTAAAGCTCTACGACCCATCCTCCAGTTGCTGAATGCAGTCGAGCCACTTTATAACTCTTTACCTACCTTTAAGCGCCTTCTAACCCCTCCCACACCCCACATATTTTGTTTTTACTTTAACTGAGCTGATCTATTAGCTGGGCGCTTTCAGGGTCGCTGTCGTCGGGCAGAGTGAAAATTGCGCGCATTACAATTTTTTGTGCGCCTTACATTTTTATTATTTTTATTATTGTAACCTCGCCCTCCCCTCCTCCCCTACTGTGAAACTCCTGCAGACGATGGTCGCCTGTTGACAAGGAGGACCTCATTCGCCAGAGCCTCGTTGCTGTCTCTGTGCGAATGGCGCAAATACCCAACATGTCGTGAACGATTTTGACAAGCGGGGACCGACAAATGTCTCCCGCGATGCCTCCAACAGCGAGAGACGCACTCGCTGTGTCATTGAACGATGAAACTAAAAATATATACTTTTTACGTAACCAGGTAAGGCCCACTGAGCTAAATGAATCTCTTTTTTTTTTTCAGAAGCGACCTGGCCACAAATGATAGCTTCAGGGGCGGAGCCAGGATTTTCAGCCCGGGGTGACATTCAACAAATTTTAATTTCAAGAATGATTTAGAGAGTCATGCTGATGAACTAGAGTTCAGACGATACGGTTGCGACGCGGGCACATCGACTGGAACTGCTCCATGATTTCGTCATTGGTGACGCCTTTTGCGACGTCGTTTTCGACGAACAGGAGCATCGCGTCAGTAAAATACTCGGCGCCCATGGTGGTACGCAATCGGGTCTTAATGTGCTTCATCCCGCTAAAGATGCGCTCGGCTGTGGCGGTGGCCACCGGTAGGGTCAACACGAGGCGCACCAGGCGGTAGACCAGGTGAAAGCCGGAATCTCCGCGGCCGCTTGTCGCCAGGTTGATGGACAGCATTGGCAGCGTGTTCACAT